AAATCCGGACAAGCTGATTGGTTAAGAACGCGAAGAAAAAGTAAATCGATATATATACGTCGTGAAAGAATTTAAAAAATACGATTAAATTTAGTTGACATTAAAAATGCATTTCTGAAGATATTATTAGAGCAAATAAATTATGTTACGAGATCTACACAATTCAGATACTTAAACGTATCTAAACAATTTTAATTTTTGTTAAATTAAACAATTAGAGAGCTTCAGTTTAAACATGTAAATATGAAAATGTATGTGTTTTTTATTGTTATATTAATTTTCCCTTCGATATAAAGCGTTCAAGAATAATCTTTAAAAATTCTTCAAAGAATTTTTTCCTAAAAATGACTCGGAAATTATTTCAATATCAAATAGTTTATTAGACTCAAACGTGTTTATTTGAACAAATATACATTACTTACAATTAAACTTGATATATATAAGATTTAATCGATTAATTGCTCGATGTGTTTATTGACGTATTTTTGGACGCATTGTCGACATTGTTGCATTGTTAGCCAAGCGGCATGGTTCACCTGTTGATCATCAGAGTCAGTCTCAGCATGAAGTAACTAATATTATTCTTGGCCGTGTTTGTTATTGTCTAATGGTTCGAACCGACAAATTTGCTTCTCTCTTTGCGCATAATTTGTCAATGTAATTTTTAATAAAAGAGATAGAAAAAAAAGTCACGTAAAATACTATAATTCTTAAATTTTAATAAAATGAACACTAATACTATAAAAAACGATTTAAAAATATGCATTTTCTATTGTTATAATTTTTATTAACGAAATAATTTAATAACAAATTTCGTAGCAATGTTACAATCATCTGATATATTGACTCTTTTTACCAGCAACCCCATTTCGTTATTTGACTATAGTCGTTCAAGGCTAATCTGGATAACTTACAGCAGAAGGCTAACCTAGAAAGCGATTCGTATTCTTGACCTTCCAAATATTGTAAGGCATATTAAATGACTAAACACACAATTGTTCAATGACTGAACTTAAATAACTACCGTGTTATATTTTATTAAGACGTACACTCTACTAATAAAAAGTTACATTTTACGATCAACAGAATGTTCCAAGATGTTTTTACATTATTATTTAAATCGTCACTGTGTTACTCCAAAATTGATTTCAATCTTCTCTACCATGTCTTTTGTTATTTATATAAATTTGCATAAATTGCATATACAGTCGACGTTCTTATTTTATTTTCCACGGTATCGCGCAAATAATCTATAATAACAACGTTGGTATTACAAACGGGCCAAGCGAACCTTTCATCACCATGACGTTATTTAATATAATTCCTGGTTCTGCGACCGGACGTTTTGCCGCGTTCTGCCAAAAAGTCGAGTGCAAACGCTTGTTTACAGGATTTCTCGCGTTTTATCGCGGATAGATCGGGACGTCGATTGGTGATTTTAGTGCCGCTGCCGACTCGTTTGAGTCAGTCGGCGAAAATAGATGCGCGGTGCGTCGCACAAGTAACGCGGTCAGTAGTATAGGCATGGTAAAGTGCGCCTGCGAAAATGCATCGTACGACTAATAATTATAACCCTCGTGAGAATTTAATTTCGAATGTGACTTCACTTTGAGCGTGGAATACTATTGAGAAGTGAATCATCGCCATATGATGAAAACTCCTTTAAATAACGTTAAAAATCTCCAAAGTCAATTGTAAAATTTTATTTCTCGATTATCTTAAAAAAATGTAACCTGAGATATTATCCATTTTTTTTTTATTCTTTTCTTATTATATATACAAGAACCAAATTTACAGCATATGAAAACAGTGATTCAATGACATTTAAAATCTCTTTAGAGTTTTAATCAATCTTTATCGCTGCATTTTTAAACACTATTTTTCTCTTAATTAATTCTTGTTAGATTTCTTCTTTCGGGGGAGAGCATGTTATTCAAGATGTGAATCACCTTGCTATGATACAGTATGTTATATAGATTGCTAAATATTTTCAGATTACTCATTTCATGTGATTCTTAAGAATGAGTAGGTGTGTAACAACAGACGTATTAGTCATGATTAATAAGTTAGTTCGATTAAAATAGATGCAGTATAGTATATGGAAAGTTATTGTTGTGCGTAACGTTTATTCATAGTACAAATGTCTCCTTGACAGAAGCATAAAAATTTTAACATTTATGATCAAATTTTATCAAATTTTAATGACTGTTTCGCACGTTATATGTTAGCGGTCACATGAACTGTCTCATAAATTCAAGACGGCGAAGAAGGGAGATTGTTTAGCGCGGTGCACGTGACTTAAAACTCTGCCAAAAGTAATTGCGCCTTTTTAACGACGGTGATTCAGTGACAAGCTCTCATTGAACGTTCATTCCCATTGTTGAGATTTTAACAGTTTACAGATACACTATACTCCATTCTTAATTCGTGTCTGTATATTTTAACTTTATCGTTTATGTTTTCTCAACTTTATTAATTATAATATGTACCCATATGATATCTCTTATGTCTTTCTATATTTATGGCTATATTTGTTTCGTTAAAGCATTATCATCTAACGGCAATGTGCTACATTTTTATGGGTCATTTTTTTGGGTCAGAGTGTCAACAAATATGTATTGTATTACAAATAGCCGTCAGAATTATGCCAAAGTGAAGCAACGCTTTCTATATAGCCAGCAAAAATATTAGGTCAGTTGAATACCGACATTCTCTCACGTACAATGTGCTGACATATTCGAGGATTTAAATAGCATATTTCTCGATCGATATCTGCTTAAAATGCGATTCTGAAAATTATTTTGCTTTACTTAAAAAGTAGTAATGTATCGAAACAATAACTTTCAAAGATTTTTTATTAGTCTCTTTTTCCAGAAATTATTTTTTTATTAAAAGAACAGTACTTTTTATGCGTAAACTCTATAATCATTTCTGTTTGGTTTTTAATACAATAAACAGTAAGCTAAACATACTGCTTGAACTACCAATGTTATTTAAGTGAAGAATCATTCAACGATAAGCTAACTTAATTTTTTTTAAGAGTAGAAGCATAAATTCTTTTACTAAAAAGCATTTATTTCTCTAAGTTTATAATCTCTTCCAAGAAAAGATCTTTTTCCCACGTTGCATTCTTATATTAGTGAAAAGATTTATCCAATATAATTTCTTTAACCAAATTTACAATTTTAGCAAAATTTGTTAAATGAATATTTTAAAGTGTTATTTCATAATGCTTTTCCATTTGTTTCTTTTCCTTTCCGAAAGATCTATCGTTGGATGACAACCGACGATCGCGGCGCGAAAATCAGACAACGCAACGGAGCAAAAGAGGCGGAATGCGAACGGCTGTTACGAAGTGCAGTAATCTCGGGAATGCATGTGGAGGCCACTTGCCAAGTCTTACTGTGACGTTGCAATACTCGGTCCGTCCGTTTTGCATGCCGTTTCGTCGGTCCGTTAAGCTCTCCCTCGCATCTGCTCGGTCTCGTCTAAAAAGATCAACCACTAATCGTAGAATGTGTGTCGACATTATATCGTTTCTCCGGATAATGTAGCTGTGAAAATCTAGTAAAAAATTTACGTCTAGAATTATATATATATATATATAAAATTATAATTTTGTTATTAATTTCTGTCAAAAGCAGATACATTTCTGTAAGTTTTCTTGAGAGAAACTCACTTGAAAGTAGTTTTGTGAGAAAAGAAAATGGAATAACGGAGATTTTGATTAACGCTGAATTTTTATACATTTGACATGTTTAACATCAATATTGTCGGATCGGTGGCTCCTTTATCTTTTCATTTGTTGTGTTACAACTTGTTTTTCTGGCACTTCTTGAGACAGTGCGAGTGAAGCAGCCAGGCGTATCATATTTCCATCGCCTGGCTGGAGCTGACATAATAGGATGATTTGTTTCACAATTTTGCGGCACGGACGGTGGCAGCGAACCAATTACGCGAATCTCACGTTACCGGAAGGATATCGTCTCGTGTCCCAACACCTACCCTTGCACTTGGCAGTCTTCGCCCGGTACACGTCACGCGAAACTAATTCATGCCTTCCGAAACGATTGTCATCTATCGCCAACATTTGCAAAGCTTCTCAATCAAGTTTAAAACGAACGCATTATCTCATGTTCTATTTATATAATAGTTGTCACAAACTATACAGATAGAGCTGCTTGAGCTCACTCAAGTTTGCAGTATCATTCTGTCACATTAATGAAAATTACTCAGGCACAGGATCTCAGGAAGTATCTTTTTTTATTTATGGATATCAAAGAATAAACTCTAAATGTCGAGACTGTTTCTACGTAGGCGCGTATCGATTATTTTGTAGCTTTATAAGCAGTTTGAAACACTTAAATTTCTTACACATTTTCTTACATTCAGCTTTATTATTTCTCAATTAATCATAAGTGTATTTTATTTTAATTCTAATATATAATAAATGTATAATTATTTCTGATATAATAAGATTTTCTACTAATTGAAAATACAAAACATCGTTTGTTATTAGGAGATATTAGGTACATATATAGTGAGAGATTGCAAGAGGAGAACAGGTGCAGAAAATTGGTGTCATCGTGCGTTAAGCCACGTCACGCGATACGTCACGCGAAAATGATCTAGCCACGTAGCTGGCGATCGCCTAAGCGAATCGACACTTCTGGCACTTGGAGGCGTCGCGCGATGCCACGGGTCTCAAAGGAACGATTGTCCGGACTTGCGCGCGAACATATTACATCCGACGGGTTGTATCGCGACCCAAATGTACGCGGCTTCTACGGTGAGATGCCAAACATAATAACCGATTACCAAGATAACTGGCCCAACCTATTTTCGAGCCAAGAGCCGCATTAATAATAGTGGCCTTACGTCACCCCACGGTTCCCTCGGCCTTGGGGCCTCGCGGGAAAATACTTTGCTCGAGCTCGACGTGAGCGAGAGAGTCGCGCGGATTCCGCGAAAATTCGTCGTTTGCCGCGCTCAATTTGCAGTTAAACGTGGCCGGCTAATGGTCCTGTGTACATCGGCGACGGCAGTGGCGTTCGGGTTGCCCGTCGTCGCCGTCGCCGCCACCACACGTTGGTACCTGCCGAAAATAGGCCCGACACTCGTAAATTATGAGGTCCTTTCGACGCGGCGGTTGAGGAAAAGCAGGCGTCGCTCATTCCCGCCGCAGTTATTTCGTGTGAAATTATTATTAGACCGACACGAAAATAATTCGAAATTCATATTTCAGATTTCGCGTCTCTGCAAAAGAGAATCGAATACGATTCTTACATTTTCTTCGTGGCACGTAATAGTGCTTATCATTTCTGAAGAGAAAATTTATATGCGAGATTAATAATTATCGTAATAGAAATCTGTATAGCTTTACTGTCTAGTTAGAGAAAGGGAGTTCAGAAAAGGAGTTAAAAAATAAATTTCAAAATATTTCTGATTATTTTATTCATTTTATATGTACATTTCAATACCATATTGTAACATTGGAAAGGCTACACTTCAACGAATGGCGTAGTTTTTGGAAAACTTTGGCCTTCATCGCTTTCAGAACGATTTGAAAATATGGTTGTTGGCAAGATATATCAATAGAATATGCGGTAAACCATATTGAAACAGTTAGTACGCATGTGCGTTATTATTTTGGAAGGATTCGCGTTTTCAGCAGCTGAAAATCGTAAGCGCAAAACCGCGATCTACAGCCAAGAGACGAAGAGCAATTTCGAGCTCCGCTCGCTCTTACCGTGAGAATACGCGCCGCACGACGATCGTTCCGTACTTCCTTTAAATTATGTAAACATCTATTTTGAATTTATCACACGATAAATCATTCTTGAACATTTTTCACTGTCGTGGCCGAAGAGTCGCTTCGTTTCGCCGTTTTCTGGCGATCTTTTCTTCAAAGATCGGTCACAACGGCAAAACCGCGTTTAATTCCAAGGCGGAAATAGTTGATATTTCCTTCATCATTTTCGCAATTTTATCTTATGACTGATTTTTCTCGCGACCTGTAATGAGAATTTAAAATTGTCGCTTCGAGTCCCTTCGTCGTCATAGATATTTCATTCATTTAGAAGGAATACCAACGCAAGTAGGAACCTCATCACGCGGTACCACGAGCGTAGGGCATCGCTAAAGAAGGCTAAGTATAGGTATTCGTATAAAAATAGCCGCGGTTGAGGCAACTATAAGTGACAGCAATTCTGGCTGCCAAGGTTTACTGAACCATAGTGACTAGACTCGAAGTGCAATCGATGCCGTTGCTCCGAACTCTGAACTGCAAATATTAGGTATTAGGTAAAGCAGAATAATTCGATATCGAAACAGTCATATTGTGTTCGGTAAAACAAAACTTTAAGGAAATAAAAATAACGAGAACGTATTTTCTGCAAACTTCAAATTTTAAAATAACTTTATCTTCTCTATCAGAATTTTAATACAACAAATTACTTACTAGTTTCTGTTGAAAATTTAAAAAAAATTAATCTAACCTGTCTAGAAAATATAATTTTATCAAAACAAATAACTTTTATCATTTCTTCTCTTCTAAAAGCGACTTTTTAAATAAGCTATTTTATTTATAATTAATTCTAATTAAATTTATATACATCTTTAAACATTTTATTTTAACATCCCTCCGCTGCCACACATGCATTATCAGTGACGAATACTGAAACGTGAAAATTTAATGGTGTAATCTAGTGTAAGTTGTTCATTCAGGATTGAAAATCTTGCTTTAATTTTGTATACTAATTTCCATATTAATGTAACGTATTGTATTCTTTTTGCATTCTAGCATTCTCAGAAGTCTGTGAGAAGTGAGTAAAGGTGGACAACGAGCTCAGAAGAAATCCGCGACAGAAACAGGTTGGATGGTGCCGCAGGCCGGCGCCATTTGAACCGAAAAGCTGGGCGAAGGAGCTGTTTCCTTCCTTGGGTCGCGGGTGTGAACACGTAAACGGGACCGGATCTTCCGGATCTCGTAGAGACAGGTGCGAAGGCGTGCCTCCACGATGGGGGTCGCCGACGACTTCGCGCCCAGCTTTACGCAGAAGCCGCAACTGCGGCAAGAGGACGACGGCAACCGGCTGATATTCGAATGTCAGCTGGTGAGCTCGCCTAAACCCGACATTGCCTGGTTTCGCGGCGAGACAGAGCTCAGCGAGGATGACAGGACCAACTTCAAGGTGCAGAGTGTCGGGACCAACAAGTTCCTGGTGGTGCTCGAGCTCGATGACGTCATCGAGACCGATGCAGGCCTCTACAAGGTCAAGGCGAAGAATAAGATGGGCGAGGTCGCTGCTTCCATCAACCTCAATTTTAGTCGTAAGTATTCATATCTTACATATATAATTCCTTTTTTGTCTCTTAGTTATATTTCTCAAAATAATAGCAATATTTTTATAAAAATAAAATTAAAATAAAACACGTATCAATTATGTAGGCTAATCTGCGCGCGAGATATTTCACTTATAATTTTACTACATTCGTTTTTATCTCTACTTCGGACTTTAGAAAATAGAGAAACAATTGATTAAACCGCAATTAATAAACATTAGTACAATGAAACAGCTATACATTATTTAAAAAAATTAATCTATTTTTTATATTGTAATAATAATAAATTAATTTTGTTTTTAATTTGTAAGTTAAAAATATTTCTATGGATTTAAATATCGATTCTCGTGATTGATATAAACTTGCAATTTTTTACTTGAAATTTCTTTAAATTAGATTGTTTCTTAATTAACATTTGGCCGTTATATTTTTCTAGCAATGGATGAGCCTAGAGAGAAGTAAGTCGGTGAAGTTTGTACCGAGAAGAAGAGACTGATTTGTCGCTTCTCCAGGCTCTGTTTAATTAACTTGTTTTACGCTTCACGCTTATGCTAATGCGTTTTCTATTATTATTTCGTTATTTATGTTTGTTCTGCTTTATTTCTACCTCTGTCTTTCTCGTTTATTTCGTTGTTTTTTGTTTTTCATTTATGATTTTAGTTGCCGATCAATCCGTTGGAAAAGGGTGAGAGCTTGTTACTTACGCTGTGTTTTGCAACTGTAATAATTTGCTAACTTGTTAATTAAATTGTTAACATGAAACTACCATTATTTACCATTCCTCCACAATTTTAATCAGGAAAAGATCAGATATGGCGATAATACCAAGAAAATGTGTGCCATAACATATGTATTACAATTTTCTCTCAATTTATCGAAACCTTGAAAAGCATATTTAGGTACATTCCGTAATTTTAATATCAAATAATTTTCCTACTGAATTACGTTTTTATTTAATTTTTCGCAAATCGATTACAAAGTATCCTAATGAGAATATTATGGAAGTTTGACGTAAAGTTTAGGAAGTTCCACGGTATGAAAGTTAGGGTATGAAAGTTAGGGTATGAAATTTCTGTCTCTTCGATGCATTATTTACTATTGCTGCGTTATCTTTAACTGCTGATAACGTTCGAGTATACGTTAAATCGGCCTGACCGAGAATAACCGTCGCGGTATGTCCGCTATTTTCGGTCGCGTTCGCGCGCCGCGCATCGCGCGATCCGATAGAAATCACGACTGCTCGCTGCGCGTCAGCTAGAACGATCGGCCGCTTCTTACCGATCCGCCTACGCAGATGGAACCGCAAACACGAAATGCGGATAGAAATAGAATTAAGGTCTTCTAGTTTTGGACACTGCTCGTGTCTCGCACGCGCAATCCGACCACAAAGTGGCCGGATTATTTCGGATGTTGTCTCTCGCGAGAGAGAGGCCACTAAATTTCGTCTGAACTACGATTTGTCTATATCACAAATGCGATAAAGAATGATCGGATCGACAGAAAAAAAACAGATATTTGACAACGTTATTAACATTATTAATTGGAACTATAGCTGAATTTTAATGAATCTAAGAGAGACGGCCGATGAAAGAGTGAAAAAGTATAAGTTGTAAAAATTAGAATATCAAGTAATAATTTTAAGAATATTTATATTTAATTGCATAGTAAATCATAGACTCAGTATGTATGAACATTTTAAATTGTAATTGTACTAATAATAAGTTGTATAATTAAGCGCTAATTTCTTATATCACATTATGCGTTTGGTATCGCCTTGGGAAAGGAGAAACCCATTTTTTTAATAACTGCAGAATTACAAAGCAGTTTGCGAGAAGCTATTCTTATCTTTACAACAGTTTAATTATAATAACAACGTTTCACTGTTGCAGCACAGCTGGTAAATCAGTCACGAGATCTTTGTGCAATTTGCACTAGCGGAAAGCATTTATCAGTTCCCAAATCTCTTTTCGCATGCCGTTTGCAGTTTATTCCCGTGTCTCGTTGCGACTTTAATGATTTTCGAAGATAATTCGAAACTGGGTCGAGAGTGTTCTCGACTGGCTCTCTCGAGTCGCAGTCGACGGCGACGAGAAGCTGTATTTCGGGATCGCATCGACAGACGTGATTCCCGTGAATTTCTAAAAGTAACACGAGCCTTTCCGCTTCCACGCGTCTCCCGAAACGTGTCACAGTGTTCGCGTTCCATGATGCGTGTCGCAAAAAAATGTCGGTCAACTGCGAGATATAATTCACTCGAAAAAGCGTGAAACGTATACACGCGAAATCCGCGAAACTTTGGTGAGACTTTTAACATTCTGGCGAGCAAAAAGCTCAAAAGGGCGAACTGTCGATTGAGAGCGAAAGTACACGCAGCTCGCGAAAATCGAATCGATCTGCGATTGACGAGAGTGAAAGTCGAGAGAAAACAGCTGCAGCCTACTTCCCCGCTAAACTTAGCTGCAACATGCACCCGTGCTAATGTACTTATGGTCCATTCGGGATGCGAGTGTTAGGCACGTGCCTCTCGTCTCGGCTCTCAATTTGCAAGAATAAACACTGGTGATCGTAACTTGGATCACACGATTCCATTGTAAAGAGTAATTTGAAAGAGAGACGATTAAAGATAGAATAATCATAAGAATTTTATTTCTAATTTAGAAAGAATTCTATCATAGAAAACAGGTTCAAAATTTGTGAATTTAAAAGACTGACGATAAAGCAAGATATTTGCTTGATTTTTTAAATAATTTATTAATCTTGACCTTTTTTGAGAGAAGTAAAAAAGCGTGTAAAAAAATTTCTAGGAAAAATTGTCTTGTTTTCTCTGTGAAATTATATTTAGGTTAGAGCTTTAAATTTTTCTGAAAATTTTTCTGGCTCAAATATTCAACTGTTGACAAAAGTGTTGGCGCCAAGAAAGACAGTAGTATCAATTATAATGTCGATGTACTGGATTTTAAAGTGGTTGTTAGCTGTCTGAATCAGAATAAGCTTGGATGAGCTTCCTCTCGTCAGGAAGCATCGACTAATCAAAACAAAAGTTATTTTTGGCAGCAATCCGCGAAAAGCGCGGTAAATCCCACAGCGGCATGATCAGCGCATGAGCTGCTCCCCAAGCAGAATAGCAAATCACGATATCAAAATGACTTTGAAAAGTGATTTTTAATTATCATTTTAACGTCATTTTGATGTCATGATGTTTTGTCATGAAATTTTGATGACTTGTTGTTCTGCTTGGATCTTCTCTTCGTCCAAATATACCACCTTCTGTATCTTTACTTATTTAATATTAATATTTAACTATATTAATTTGTCTTTAATAGAAATCCTAATTATTCTAAAAGTGAAAACATTACTAATTCTTTTTGTATTAAATCTTTGGCCACAGTGCGTGCACTTGCGATCAAAGCATGAGATTTGCTAACGACAGATGTGAGTGTCTTTCGATTCACTAACGCGTTGGTTGATCGCGCCGGAACTGAAATTAAAATCATCAGCGATATGGTACGTTTGTGACGCAACATCAAAATTTTTGCGTTGATTCGCCGTAATTTAATTCAATTGGCACGACGATCAACGCTTTAACGAACGATAAATTCACTGGATATATTTCCAGACTCCGTGCGACATTTATTTTGCGCTTGCAGACAAATTGACGGTATCGCGCCGACTTTCGCGAAGAAGCCCGCGATTAGACAGGAGGACGACGGTAAACGGCTGTTGTTCGAGTGTCGCATCACAGCCGATCCTACGCCGAAAATCACATGGTTTCACAGCGGGAACATGGTGAAAGACTCGCCAAGGCACAAGGTTGGATTATAATCTATCCCGTACAGAGTAATATAAACTCAAAGGAGATTGAATAGTAAAATTCAAAATTAATTCCCTTATGTAGACGATTTTATCTACTAAATGTATATAATAGCCAAGCCACTACCGTGTCTCCTGATTAAGTTTCTTGAATTCTACGTTCTAGGAACTGACTTTTTTAAAGTCAGTTAAAGTGTTTTTTTGTTCTGCAATTTTTTTACGAGCAAAATGAGGAACGTACGCGAAATAATTAATTCGAACTCCGTGAAAACGATTGTCGAACCGTTTCAGATGACCGTCGATAAAGATGGCCACTCGTACTTCGCCACCCTGGAAATAAAAAACGTGACCGTCGAGGATGCTGGCAAATATAAGGTCACGGCGAAGAACGAGCTCGGCGAGTCTAACGCCACGATTTCCCTGAATTTCGATAGTAAGTATCTGACGTTTTGCGATAAATAACCACAAATCCATGTATATTTTGACCGATGATCCGCTTTACCTTTTACTATTTACCTGCTTAATTTTTTCACAAGTATACGCTCGATCAGTCGCGTTATTTTGTTAATAAGTTTCCTTAAAACTGAAAAATTATTCTTAACTTCAATTTATTTTGGATATCAAGCAGGCATTTTAAAATGTTTAATTTCTTTCAAGGAAACTTGCTCTAAGTTTTATTTCTCTTTTTCTTGTATAAATTTCTCTAGAATTTTTACAATAATTTTTTAATATTTAATAATTTCTAATTAAACTGTATTTAACTTTATAGAGTTCTAAAGTAGCGAACGCGTTTCTCCCTTTACTCCTTTCCGCGTTGTCTCGAAGCGGAAAATAAAGTGGATCATCGGCACCGTTCCTCAAATCTTCTCTCACATTCTCACTCGGGATGTATATCGATGATTTTCTTTCATTTCTGACTGTCTCTTCTTCATCTCAGTTCTCTGCCCTGTTTATCTGTATATCCTCCATGTCGACTCTACACCAACGTATATCCGCAGTTTATTATTTAATTTTTTTCCGTTCCATCAACAGTCCATTCTATTTAGTCTTTTTCTACTCTTTCATTGTAAATGCCATACATGCGGAGACCTTTATTTTTTAATGGTTTGTCTCGGTCGAGCGATGAGCACGTATCGATATCGGCTCGACGCGAGCCACGATATACAGCCCGTTGATTTGATCTTAATCGACTAAACGACATTTTTTTTCTTTTGCCGAGAGAAACATACACTTGTTGTTTGTCTCTCACGAGATTTTGCATTCGTAAAAGTTGCGTAGAGAGCGGACCAGAATAATCAACTTGTAACAACGCGTGTACTGCTGCTTCAATCACGTATTAATTCGAATCGCATCTCGCGCCGATTGGAGATACACTTTGCGTCTCGAGACGAATTACCGTCCGTACCGATGCACGAGATGCGATCGCAGATTAGCATTAAACATTATTGACGCTTCGTTAGGTTGCTTCGATGACATCTTTTCTCTCTATTCATACGATCATGTTTGCCGTGTGTGAATATCTACTGAGAAGCCGCCGTTTGTTTCTGAGAAATCGGCGGTTTTCGGATGCACTGCATCCAAGCTCACACGCACACACACACGCAAACGTAATTATACGAAATCTCTGTGGTGGTTAGATCTGCTAACAATATATATTTCCTTACTTGCACACACTATTAGTTACGATTTCGCACCTTCAATTCCAACGGAGATGTCACATTCCTCTTTGGTTGCATAAAATTAAATTTTAATACTGCTGCTCAGAAATAAAACACAAATAGCATTCTGTATAATTACAGATTCAAGTTTGACAGTTTTATTAGTGTCGCGGGTACACCTCACACAGCATTATACTATTATAGTATAATATTCTTGTAGAAATTATTTGCACATAAAAGGAATTTGTTAAATACATTTTGAGAAAAATTTTAATCTATATGCTTTTATAGAATCAAAATTGGCAAGTACGGAAATGTTCTTGAAAAATAGTAAAATATGTAGTTAATGACAACGATTCTAATATTGTATATACTCACACGTGTCTTCGTCACATGCTTCACTAGTCATTTCTCATCGGCTAATTCGTAGAGATTTTTTACCAGTAAAACAGAAATGTTTGAAATCATGTGTTATATCATACTGTATATATTTACATCATCGATTAATACCACGTGTTTTAATCGACACAACATGGAAACACACTACTTTCTTCGTATTCGCGGTATTCGCGGTTTCAATGATTACTCATTCAGTAATCAATTGGAGATGAAATGATGAAATTGAAATTTCTCGATTAACATTAATGCAATCGAACTGTTATGTCGTGTCAAACGGACGTACATATTACACCACTCACTCACTCGCAAACAGCGTTTTGACGAAATGCTTGCGCATAACCGTGCAGTGTTCCTATTTTCACTTTAACCGCGCGCGCGTCCGTCCTCAAAACCGCACGGGAGAAATGGAGCAGGTGACATTTCGAGAGCACAGTTTTATGATCTACCAAGCGAAATGTTGCGAATAGACGGAAGGAGAGTAGAGAGAGCAACCTAATTCACAAGATGTCGATCGGCAAGGATTCTGAATCCTTGAACGTATATTGGGTGTTGATTTCAGCACACTTGTTATGCGACGATACAAGTAAACGAAGTAATTAAATCGATAAAGGAATATCGAGTGGATTAATGTAAATTAAACTACGACAATTTTATTTAGTAGAGAAATATTTAATAGAGTATGTCTAGAAACTTGAAGACTAAGCCAAATCGATACGTGACTCCCGATCTCGCATCGAACTGCAAAATGCTTCGCGTATTTAAGCCTTTCGCTGCTATATAATTTTTTGCTCTATATATAAAATGTAGTTAATTGACCAGAATTTGAAATTTTTTCTTATTTTACTTTTTTTAATGTAAATATTTAAATGGTAAGTAAAGAAAAAAAAGAATTTATGTTTTCAAACTTTTTTCCATCTTGAGATTAATATAAAACTTAATTAAAATTGAAATTTCTGCGGAATGGTATCTTTGATTTAGAGGGGAATAACGCGTCTGGAGTCAGATACTAATTGTTGCAGCGAAAGGATTGAGTAGGCAAGCAAGCGTGTGTACGAACAATTCTCGACATGTCGATCGTTTGTGTCGAACGTAGGCGATGAAGCACCCGTACCGGATGACGGTATTAAACCTACCTTCACCGAACGACCGGTGATTAGACAATCCGACGACGGTAACACCATCACCTTCGAATGCCGACTTGTCGGCGATCCGAAACCGAGTGTCAAGTGGTAAGGCCTTGAAATCCGCGACGCGCGCGAGGAAGTAGTACTGAAGAAGTGCCATTGTTGAATCATCGGAAGAAATGCCGATCAAAGATATTCAATATCGATTAGATGATAAAATTAAGAGAAGAAATATTGCAAATTAAACTTTTTTTTTTTAAAGAATCTCTTAAAAAGAAACGTTTGCAATATTGTTTTCCAATATTTTTGGAAGATACATAATTGTGAAAACGACACGTATGCGATTAACCAAGATAATTTCAGTAATGCATCTTATTCCAATGGTTCAAAGCTTAGAAGCGCATGACATGCACTTCCGAGCGCGCGACTCGCGACGCAAGTCAATATCCGGCGGTTGCTTCGACTTGGCACGTTGACGGCGATCGCAGGTATCACGGTACCGAGGAAGTGAAAGACGGCGGGCGGTTCACCACATCGCTGGAACTCGATCAGAAGCTGTACCATCTCGCGAGGCTGAGGATCGACAGTGTGGCGAAGGGGGATGCGGGCGAGTACAGGGCCGTGGCGAAGAACAAGCACGGCCAGGGGGTGGCGACCATTAATTTGAACTTCGAGGGTGGCGACAGGCTCAAGTAGGCATCGAAAGATGATCTGTCCTCGGCGTTATTCTGCGCCACGATTCGACAGTTGCGCTCTTTTTCGAGGTTCGACGCGGCGCGATGGAAACTTGCATTGTAATTTTATTCGATATATTGAGTTGCAAAAATACAGCAATAATTTAGCATAGCTTTTAAAGAATTGCAATGCAAAAAATAATTATTAGCATTTTTCAAGTTTGTTACATTTGGTTGCGCACGTATATCGTAAAACATATATAGGCTTCATTATAAATTAAATACCGATAAATATATTGTGAAATAAAAGAAGTTGAAAGTTAGTCGATTAGATTATGCAGGTATTCGTAACATTTAATTAACTTTTTCTAATTCTTTAATTAAAAAGAAATCATTATTTAAGCAAAAACTTCTTATACCTAAATGCTTGCAGTCGCTTTATAATAATTTATATCCCTTATAAATTTACGAATGCCTACATATATAGAAATCGCACATTCTCTCTGTATTAGAAACACGTAGAACTGTCGGAATGAGAAAAAGTTTTGATAAATTGAATTAAAAGAGAGCCTGCGACTTTTACAATATTTTTTCGTAACATCGCGTCGCGTTTTCGGGAATATTGCGTGGCATGGCCGACAGATGAGAAACGACATCCACCGTGATGGTTTTAAATTCTGCGTTCGATCGATCAGCGAATCGACGAATTTTTCGTCTGACGTGTCGATTTACGCAGAATACCGGACGGTAAGCCGCCGCGCTTCCCGAAGAAGCCGACGATCCGCCAGGAGGGCGATTTACTCATCATGGAGTGCATCCTGGAGGCACATCCGGTGCCGGACATAACGTGGTACCAGGGTCAGAAAACGATTACCGACAATAAACGCGTGAAGATGTCACGCAAGGCCACCGGCAAGGATACGTATCTGCTGACCCTCGAGATCTCGAATCCGACCAAGGCTGACGGTGGGAATTACCGTTGCAACGCCTTTAACAACTTCGGCGAGAGTAACGCCAACATCTCCCTCAACTTCCAAGGCAAGTCCCCCTCGAAGCGTACGAGAGGGCTTTCATTTGTACTCCGAGATATTCATCATCAATATCAAACGCGCTTCAAAAATTATCCAAAAAGAATCATCAGCAATCTTTAATCATAATTTTATTTTGTATAATATCAATTTCAAAGTAATTTTTTGTTTTTTTTTATACGTTTGTTTAAAATTGATTTTAATATTGTAAAACTGCTCGGACAATAAAATCCCTCTTGTCTACTTCGTCCATGACGGGTCCTGACAATTTTCCCCGTGTCTCCTTTGTGCGTAATGCATTCTATGAATTCGCGATAAAGATGTACAAGCGGTTTTTCACGATGAACGATCGCGATCGTTGACGTTAGGTCGGTTTATCAGGTAAGCACAGCCGCGCTATACTGCTAACCAATCGTGAAGTCTCTGTATCTTCGCTTCATAACTCATTGAGCTGCCAACAACACGACTAACGTCATCGGGAGTCGCGGTCGCGGGTCACCGATAACCCGCGACCGCGGCAGAGATCGCGTTTCCGGTGTCCCGCTGCGCACCCGGAAAGCGTCGCTCGTATCTTCACCGACGATGTCTAACCGTGGATCTTTCCAAGATGCAGAGGAGGGCGCGGGTTGCGCTCCGTCCTTTATCGAGAAACCTCGCATCATCCCGAACGAGACTGGTACGCTTATCACCATGAAGTGCAAGTGCAAGGCAAATCCCAAGCCGGAGGTCACGTGGTTCCGCGGCACCAACGTGGTCAAGGAGTCGTCCAAGATCGCAATCAAGACTAAAACTGTCGAGGAGGACATATACGAACTTATAATGGAAATAAAGGTAATTCTTCTTTAAAAGCGAAAATAACTTTAATTTATTTTATTTAATTATTACGGTGTAATATGGGAATAAATTTATAGTTCTTTAAATTCTCAGACATTTAGTTTTAACATTCTTTTATATATAGATTTTTAATTTCAAATTTTTTCTTTGGATTTATAGATGTGTAATAGAGATTATATTTTATAAATATCGATTTTTTAATTTAAAACTTTTCTAATGATTTTTTGACAACAGGACCCATCGGCACCGGACGGCGGCACTTACAGGTGTCACGTGAAGAACGAGTATGGCGAGAGCAATGCTAATCTGAATCTGAACATTGAAGCGGAACCAGAACCAGAGGGAGACGGGCCGACGTTCGTAGAGAAACCACGGATAAAGTCGCAAGACAAAGGCAAGGTCGTCATTATGGATTGCAAAGTGAAGGCGAAACCGAAGCCGCAGATTGTGTGGACCCACGCCGGCAAAGTGGTGAAGGAGTCCTCGAAGCTCTCCATCAGCATCGTCCAAGAGAAGGAGGACATTTATTATATCAAATTGACTCTGAACGATCCCGGACCGGACGATTCTGGACTTTACAAGTGCAACATTAAGAATGACCTTGGTGAACTCAACGCCAATCTTACGCTAAACGTCGAAAGTAAGCACGCATTTTGTATATTAAATAATAGTAGTCTAATTAATTTTTTTAATATAGAATAATTGATTTAAATTTGATAATTTAATTTTTGTTCCAATTGCTAAAAGCACATATCGATTGTGATTTTAGTTATACCCGTAATTAAGGAAAAGCCAAAGGTAATAAAGATCGTCAAAAAGAAGACAATCGTGATCGAATGTCACGTTCTTTCCCAATTCGCGCCCGACTGCACGTGGTTCAAGGAAACCCAGGCCGTCAAAGAGGATAATAGACACAAGTGTCACGTCGAGCAAGTCAAAGAAGTGAGTTCCATACAATAAAATTATTCATACAGTATAATCAATTACATTACCTTGTATTATAACGTGAATCGGTATTCAACAAATTATTATATAAATTTTAATCAGCTGATTTTTTTGAACAGGGTGAATTCGCTGTAAAACTCGAAATCGAACAAATGTCACAAACAGACAAAGGCACATACAAATTGGTGGCACGCAACGAAAAGGGCGAAGCCACGTCGCAAGTAGTGGAAGTGACGGAAATTCCAGACCAAGGAGAAAAACCAAAAATTGTTACCGGCCTCAAATCAATTGTAAGTATTTCTATTGTAACTCGAAAGGCAGCTTTTTTATTTAACATTCATTTCTATGAAAAGATAAAATAAAATTAAAATAAAACTCCTTTAGCTACTTCAATTGATTGTTGCTCGTTTTTTTTTATTTCCAGACTGTCGAGGAAGGTAAAACGGTCGAGCTCGTCGCCACTCTCGCAACGCAAGATCGAAAAGTCACTGTCACGTGGAATAGGTACGTATTTAATATAAAAGTTGCATTTTAAATAACTACCTGAAATAATTTGTCTAATAATTTATCATGTATTTTTTGCCAGTTGTGCTTTTTCTTATGTCATAAATTGTTTCAATAAATTATTCAAATTTTTATGCTTATTGTAATAAGAATCGTAATATGATTACAGAGATTCAACGGTCGTCAAAGCGTCAAAAGACATCATGATCTCCTTCAATGGCCTGGATATGAAATTAACCATCACCTCGGCATCGACAGAATTGTCAGGAACATATAAAGTCGTCGTCAGCAACGAATATGGTCAGGATGAGTCGTCGGCTCGTCTCGTCGTCAAGGTAGGCAATTTTATTTAATACATTTAACCATAGTTTATATCATCAACATGGATGCAAATTTTTTCTTCACCTTCTTTGTCTCTGTATAAATTTATGTTCCAACATATTGCAAGAGATTCATACTTATGTGAAAAAACGTAATTGTCACTCCTTCTTTTCATGTGAATTTAAAATATTTGTATCACAAATAATGATAAATTGATCTAAATACCTTATTGAAAAACTGGCATGTTGGTCGAACGTCAAACTAAATTGGAAAATATCTAATATAATTAAATCATCGTTCTCTTAATGAATTCGAAGATCATTTGTTTGAGACGTGTTCCCCAATGTTGCATGCAATCCCTTCATTAAATTGCAGAAGAAAGAGGAAAAGAAAAAGGACGAGGAGGAGGAAGAGAAGAAGAAGAAGAAGATCGAGAAGAAAGAGAAGAAAGAAGAGGAAAAAAAGGAAGAAAAGAAGGTAGAGAAGAAGGTCGAAGAAAAGAAGGAGGAAAAGAAGGACGAAAAGAAGGTAGCCGCTGAGATAAGAAGATCAAAATTTTATTTAATTTTCAATCGTTTTCTGTTGCTTCTCTGTTTTTTTCGTTACACCTCTTGTGATTAACAAAATACTCTTATACTGATTACATATACAACTTGATACAGATACAGAAAGATTAATCGTTTTGCAAAATTTATTACAGTATGCGTATTTATATTTGCGAGAGAGCAATATTTGAAAAAAAAAGAAAGGAAAATGATTTTAGTGTTAGATGATTGCATTTTATCATGCGATTGATTAACGAAATGCAAGTACAATTATCGAATTACAAGTATGCTTTACATTGAGAGCATCTGTAGGTTTACAAAACGATTTATCTTTTGACTTCTCGACGCGACAATTGGCTTATCGTTGAAAAATTATATCTCGATACATAAGGTAATAAGTTCAATATGGAGCGACGATGATGGTGAGGGATCGGAAGGATATGAGGAGGAGATTGAGGAAGAGGAAGAAGTGGTGAGTGTAATTGAGTCCAGTGTTATCAGCACAGAAGCCATTCTCGAGGAATCGGACTCTGAAATTATTTCTCGCGTCGAGGTACACACATACGCAAACATATACCAACGCTAATACATACAGATTTTATCTTTCGTCAATTTATATATATTAAATTATTAAATAAGTATAAAATCTTTATACTTATTTAATAATTTGATAACAATGTGTACGTATTACATATTTCTTACGATAAAATAAGAGATTTTATTTTTTAATTACTTAAATTATTTAATAAACTAAATTTTTTAATTTTATATTATTATTTTTGTAATTTATTGTATGTAACTATTACTGCTAATTAAACTTCTTCTCTTCTTCTTTTCTATGAAAATCATGTCTTCGTAGGATAAATCATTTTTTTCTTATTATTTTTAAGGATAAGCCCGATTTGAAACCGAACGGTATCGACAAACCAGGGATTAGGAAGGTACGAGATAAAATTATTTCTTTTTAATTTTTTAAAAGAAGAATCAAATGCAACATTTTACAAAAGATAAAAAACGGTACACTATGATCAGAACATGTGACATCGTGATAATAATTATTGCATTTGTGCACTCCTGTTTATTATTTTACCCATTGTTACTTTCCTTTTTTGCATTTTCCTTGTCACTTTGTGTTACATCTTTATTTTGAGATTTATGTGTATGTAGTGTGCTCCACGATATGTACGAAAGCTTATTCTACAATATGTTATATCAAAACTTAAACGCTTAAATTTTCTACAGATAATAGTGTATAGCTAATAAATTATATAAACGACATTAATAAAAAAAATAAATTTAAATTCAATATGTAAGATATGCAAAAGAAAAATAATGGCCCTGACGTTTTCTGTTTCAGAAAATGGAGATCTTACAGGTGAGCATAGAATATCAAACAGTCAGTTTTCGGTAATGTATGCGCTCGAAAAGTAGCTTTGAGATTCCGCTCGAATAAATACCACTGTGCTCTGAAGCTTGAGGCTTTGGCAAAGTATGTATTTTGGCCAATCTGCGAAACAACATATGTTTATGAACCGCAACAAATTGTTTTCAGTATTCTTTTTGATATGAGATCTCATCTTGCAATCGCAAAATTGCCTCTAGGCAATTAATAATCAGTGTTTTTGCGCTCCGTAAATTTGCTTATATTATTTTATCTTTCGCAGCATCCACTTAATCTCAGCTTATCCGCTAAGTTTCTTCGAACGATTTCATGCGCACGCTTAAACAAACGCCTTGATATTTATTTTCCTTCGCTTAAGAAACGCAAGTTTTCCAAGAACTTTTTCAGATGCTATATTTCTTTCCGAGTCCCAGAAGCTGGTCCCGTTAAATCTATCTAACTCTGCTTTAAAGTTTATTAATTCTTTATCTCATTATTCGAATTCTTGCATGGCTTTTTCTTTGTACGTTGTATTGCGTGTGTTTGTGTATGAAAAATTTTGTGAAAAGATTGAACATCAGAGATACTTATTGCTAATTAATTATGAACATTAGATTAAATTTATGTTAGCATTGCAATCATATCTCTGATCATTGTATATTCCAAATTAAATGGATGAAGTATTTTGCTAATATTATTTTATCTCTTTACGTATGTAGAAGGACGAAGAAATCGTCAATAATGTTGAAGAAAGGAAATCTATTAAGGTAAGAATGTATCTTTTATTAAAAATGTTTATTAAATGTTGTAGTTACGATATAACAAATAATCCATTTAATTATACTTAATTTGAAATATCGTTTTTAATATTTTTCTTTCAATTTATAGAAGAAACCAGCCGAGAAAGTTGAAGACAAAAAGGAAGAAGAAAAGGTTAGTGTAATTATCTTCATAAGTTGAAATTATCTCTTAATAATTTATATTATCTTTAAATCTTATTTTTTTTTAGAAAAAGATTTTAAAGAAGAAAGAGCCTGAATCTAAGGAGGTATGCATAAATCAATATTTATTTTATTTTTGTCTTTAATAGTTTGTTACATATTCAATAGTTTATCTTATTTTATATTAACCATATATAATATATTATTATAATATATTTTTATTGCGCAAAAATTGATTTGGAACATATATATTTTATATCTAATATTATTTATGTACAGATATCTCGAGAAACCACACCTAAACCTGAGAAAATCACGAGTCGCAAGGAATCAGTCAGCAAGGTGAGAGTTTATTGTTATTTTATATTTTTTGAATAACTAGTACATAACAGGCGCGTGCTTCGCGCGCGCTGCATATTGGATCCCATACATCTTCCAATAACATTTATACCAATTTACATTTTAATTAAACAAATGTTAACAATTTTTGATAAAAAATAAATTTTCAAAAAAAATGACGCTTTGCATCACCCGACCACCACTTATTACCACCCACTACCATCACCCACCATCACCACCCATTTTGATTAAACAAATTTTAACAATTTTTGAAAAAAATAAATTTTCAAAAAAATTACGTTTTAATCGGCTATTTTGAATCGGCCATTTTTAAATAAAATCGATTTCTTAAAAAATAGCCACATAATTCATTTATACGATGAGCCCAAAAAGAAGTCTATATCTTTATTTTTCTGGAAGATATGATTTTTTAAACATTGGGGAAAAGAGGCTTCAACGCAGGTAATACGGCAATTTTAAGATAGGAGACCGTAAGGAGGAGTTAGAAAAATAGACTTTATAATCTTTATATATAAATTTTTATATTTCAGGTGGAAGAACTCAAGACAGAGAGCCGTCGCAGTTCGCTTATTAAGACTGAAGAAAAGGTATATACAAAATATTATTATATAATACTAAATTACATAAACACTTTAAGAACTATGGAAAATTTTTATTTTGCGCGATGAAATACAATATTACGTAAAATATACATTATTTTTAATTATTTTTACAATTATCGTATAGATAATGGATGATGGCACTGCGACACCACGACGTCTTTCTATACAGAAGGTACACATACGTAAACATACACACTTTACACGCAGTCATGCAAACATTGCCAAGAACGATCACAAACTATTTTACAAAACTGATATTTTGAAAAAGATGTTTAAAATTATTAATCAGAATAAAATGCTATAAATTAAAATATTTTATTCTAGTAAAATAATTTAATCTTATAAAAAATTAAATCTTATAATATTAAGCTTATTTTAAATATAAAGAATTTGTTTTATTTACCATTGTTTTAAGTTATAAATTTGGTTAAAAAATATTAGTTATAAGTTATAAAACTTACGCCAATCGAATTTTAATTTATGTTTTACGTGTCTTAGACCGAAGAAGTCAAAGTAGAAAGCAGACGATCTTCTATCATAGAAAAGAAGAAAACGACCGAAAAGGTAAGAAAGAATATACTGCCGTCGGTTTTTTAGTCGGTTACATAATGTGCTAACAAAATATCTAGCTATTGATTAATTAATTAGTTGTTACTAGTAATTATAATTTTTGGGAAAACAAAGTAAGTATAAATATGAGTGAGAACTGTTACCTTCTCAAAATCGACATAAGAAGGTTTTTAATATTTTATAGAAATCAAATATTATTTTAGAATCAAATATTAGATTAATAGCTTGACGTGATTTTATTGTTTGGCAGACCAGTTTGTGTAGTGGCAGTAGTTTTTGAAAATAATTTTATCTGTAGATTTGATTTTTGAAGCTTTTAATGTGCAAATAATTTTAGACACAATAAAAAAAAAGATTACATATTTCAAACTTGAAATACAAAATTTGCTTTTTGTGAAATTTTACAGTTAATAAGAATTTAAAGGTATAGAAGAACAAAAATAATAGGAAATATAGGGTATTTTTATTTTGTATGGTAAAAATCGAGATTTATATTGGAATCGTTAGACTTTGTATTAAAAAGACATGCGAGAACATTTTATCTCGCGTCGTTTCAGGACGTACCTGCATTCAGGCCAAGAGCAATTCCGCGAATGATTGAAGATGAGGTACACTTACACATTTTAATTGCACAAATTATTTTATTTTATTTTATTTTTTTATTATACTTTGTAATGAAATGAATATTTTTTTAGAATTCACTTACAGCGAAGATCAAGCCACACACACACAAATCCGACGAAGAGATTCAGGTACACAACGACACAATACTCTCAATCGTACATCGTTCATTAGTTCAGTATTACACATTACACTTAATTTTAGGACGTTTGGTCGTCTAAGCCGACAGAGCGCGATAGTAAATTGGTAAGAATCGAGGTACGTGTGACGCATTTATTTTACATTTACATGCGTCTTAAGATACACGATATAGATACATGAAACGTTGTAGGAAACTACGAAGTCCAGAGTAACTTCTTCCGTACGTGAAACCGATCGTAAACCGAAGGTACATATTTCGCGCTGTATTTGTACGACAAAATGTAGTTTCCCTAAAAACGAAAAAATATTTTTATGCATATATATTATTTGCAATGAAAAGGATTAAGCAAAGGTAAATTTTTTAGGTTGCACCTCAAGCTGCAATTAAGCCACGCGTGCGCGATTCAGATGATGAACTTGAGGTATACAGATAATTATATTGCGCACATTTCAGTCATGTTAACGACAATTAAACATTTTGCGAAACGTTGCGTATTTTATCGACGTTATTAATTTTAGGACGCTTGGAGCATTCACAATCCGGGAGAACGTGATAATGAATCTGCGCCGTACAGAGTATGCGAATATGCTACGTGAAAGTTCGATTTCAGTTTAAAAAGAACATGATATTTCAAACGTAATATTTTTTTATTTTAGGATACGTCGTCAGATAAGACACACAAACCCCATACACCCACTGATACAACACACTCGCGTCAAAAATCAGACGAAGACAAACCGAAACATAAAATATTACCACATGACACAGCCGCAAATCAGACACATCCGAAGAAATCGGAAGAGATTGAGGTATAGAATATTTTTTAAAATATAACTAACTAGACACGAACATAAATCTTTAAATCATCAATACTTTTAAAATATTTGGGCGAGTAAAGAATACAATAGTGACTCCAAAAAGCATGACTAAGTATACGAATACATTTAAATTATAGATATTATTTGTGAATCGTTTGAGTTTCTTTAGAAGGGATTATATAATTTTATACATGTCATTTTAGGATATTCCGAAAGAGAAAAGACCACATGACACACTTACAAGTAAAGTACTACCGCGTAAATCCGACGATATGTCAAAAGATAAAACACTTTCTCGTGACACACCAACATATAAAGTACATCCACAAAAATCTGACGAAGAAATTGAGGTATATAATATTATTGCGAGGCACACACGAATTACAACATCTTTAACATGTTAATATTTTTAGGATATTTGGGCGAGTAAAGAACGCGATAGTGATTCCAAAAAGCATGAAAAAGTATGCAAATATAATTAAATTACAAATATTATTCGCGAATAGTTTGAATCTCTTTAGAAGGGATTATAAAATTTCACATATGTCTTTTTAGGATATTCTAAAAGAAAAGAAACCATATGACACACCTACAAGTAAAATACTACCGCGTAAATCCGTCGACATTTTAAAAGATAAAACTCTTTCTCGTGACACACCAACATATAAAGTACATCCACAAAAATCTGACGAAGAAATTGAGGTATATAATTGAGGTATATTATTGCGAGGCGTACGAATTACAACATCTTTAACACGTTAATGTTTTTAGGATATTTGGGCGAGTAAAGAACGCGATAGTGACTCCAAAAAGCATGAAAAAGTATGCGAATACATTTAAATTACAAATATTATTTGCGAATAGTTTGAATTTTTTTTAGAAGGGATTATAAAATTTCACATATGGCATTTTAGGATATTTCGAAAGAAAAGAAACCACATGACACACCTACGAGTAAAGTACTACCGCGTAAATTCGACGACATTTCAAAAGATAAAACACTTTCTCGTGACATACCAACATATAAAGTATATCCACAAGAATCTGATGAAGAAATTGAGGTATATAATATTATTACGAGACTCGCGCGAATTACAATAGCTTTAACTCGTATTGTTTTTAGGATATTTGGGCAAGTAAAGAACGCGATAGCGACTTCAAAAAGCATGAAAAAGTATGCAAATACATTTAAATTACAGATATTATTCGCGAATAGTTTGAATCTCTTTAGAAGGGATTATAAAATTTTACATATGTCTTTTTAGGATATTCCGAAAGAGAAGAAATCACATGACACACCTACAAGTAAAGTACTACCGCGTAAATCCGACGATATTTCGAAAGATAAAACACTTTCTCGTGACACACCTACACACAAAATATATTCGCAAGAAGAGATTAAGGTACATGATATATGTATATCATCCATAACTTGTAAAACTATATGTTACACTCTTCCAAAATATAACTCTTTCTAGGACACGTGGTCGACTAAACCGAAAGAACGCGATGTCGATTCGAAGAAATATGATAAAGTACACAAATATAATTATTAATTATCACGCTTACATAATTAGATTGAGTAGGAATAAAGAAAGTAGTAATGATAAATCTTAAATAATATTTTAGGACATGTTGAAAGATAAGACACTTTTACGTGATACACCTACAACTAAAATACAATCACACAAACTTGCTGAGGCGCCGAAAGACAAGACACTTCTATCTAAAACGCCCACGGCTAAAATACAAAAGCCTGATGAAGTGCCAAAAGATAAAACATGTATACACGACACACCCGCTCACAAAATACGTCCACACAAATCTGACGAAAAAATTGAGGTATACGACACATACATATACACATATATATACGTATATAATTACAAATATATTTTTTAGAAGTATTTTACACATTTTTAAAATATTAATATTATAGGACGTTTGGTCGACCAAACCGAAAGAACGTGACGATACTGATTCTAAAATATATAGCAAAGTATGAAAATTAATATTTTAAATAAGTACACAATTAGCGTAAATTTATATAGAGAAAAAATACATAATATTTTAAATATAATATTATTTTAGGATTTACCGAAACCTAAAGACAAATCATCCCGTCGTCCATCTGACGGAGAAATCGAGGTACACATTAGATATTACACATTATACATATTAGTCCGTATAATTTTTTTACTTCCTTTTTTTAACGCTAACACTTTTAGGATATTCGATATCCTAAGCGGAAGGAGAGCGAGACTAGATTATACAAAAATGGCGAGGTACATTAGATATTTCTTACATCTTTTAAGCGTATACACGTAGAGAATAATTATGGTGATAAAGTCGAATTGATAATTTTCAAAAGAACACAATAATCTAAATACAGTATTATTTTAGGATTCGCCCAAAGCGAAAGATAAACCATCTCGTCGACAATCCGATGAAGAAATCGAGGTACACATTGCACATTACACTTAAACATCACGTCATACAGATTTTTTTACATATTTTTTTAACGCTGACACTTTTAGGATATTTGGTCCAAGCGGAGGGAACGCGAAAACAGACCACACAAAACAGATGAGGTACACTATGTGACATCTCGCATACTTGAGTAAATCTTTAAAATCTTCAAAAAACGAATAGAGTTTTAAAGAATTTTTATTATAGGACATACCGGTAATTAAGGATAAGAGACGCGTGTCTAAACCTGATGAAACTGAAGGAGGTAGAATAGCTTCGGACAAAACGAAAGAGCGTGATATCAAGTCCACGCGAAATGACGAGGTAGATAATTATAGGCGAGACAGATAATACGAGTACGATTTAAAAAATAATTTAGTTTTGTTCATTTACTTTATATTTTTTAATGAAAGAATAATGAGATGGATAGTGAATCGATAGAAGTCAATAGAGTTTATTTTAGGAAAATTATTCTATGTTAAAAATTTAATACACGCGCGAAATAAATGCAAAATTAGATCTTTTTTGCTAAAAAATACCGTATACAGAATACATTAAAATATATCGTTGACATTTTTTAGGACAAATTGACGTCGAAATCGAAAGGACACGATGATAAACGCGTCCCACACCATGAGGTACACGAATATGTGAATACATATAACATTTCGCTTCGTTTCACTCCACATCACTTCACACAACTCACACTTTCGTATTTTACACTTATGAATCTTTGTGAATTAGCTTGATAAAATGTTATTTTAGGACACCGCGTACTCTACAGACACACCACACAAACTTCCACTCGAACGAGATGTCAAAACTTACTACACGCACTACAATTACGTTAGTTAGACAATATAATTTTACAGCGGATAACAAAACTCTTATTTTATTTATTTTAAAATTGATATATTATATTTTAGGACGTATGGGCACCGAAA